GAATTGAAGTCTATCCAAAGAAGCAGGTATGCATGAAGCCATTTCAGTCGAAGTGGGTAACGGCAGAAATTAAAGACTACCGTAAACTGAAATCGGAAGACAGAGAAGACTTGCAGGAGCTTGCAATGTTTTTTCCTGATTCAGAAAATGAGAAGAGAATAATCCCGGAATCTGGAATAGTTCGGGTAAAAACAAATGGAAAATTGCAAGTGTGTGTTACGAACTTGTCTTTCGAAGCACAAGTTATTGACCGCACTGTGCCACTTGGAGAAGTGGAGGCGTACGAGGCAGTGACGTCACATTTGTCGACGGTGAAACCAGAAACTGACAATCAGGATGAAGCCGCGATGTACAATATGGAAACTCTGGACGAACCAGAAGTTGCTCCAGAACAGGAACAGTTGATTCAGTCAGCCAAGATCAGTTCTCAAGCTTCAGAAGTTGAACGGGAAGCACTGTTAAAATTATTACGCACGCATTGCGTAATCGTACCAAGCAAAGAAAGGCCTATTGGATGTTGTAAACTGTACGAGCATCCGATAAATACAGGAACTCATGCACCGATACGAGTACCTCCTTACCGCACAAGTTACGCAGATAAGAAGTTTCTGCGTCAGAAGACGGCGGAAATGCAGGCAGATGGGATAATCGAACCTACAGATAGCGCGTGGGGTTTCCCGATTTGTCTCATACCCAAGAAGATGACGACCGAAAAGCGAGTCACGGTCGATTTTCGAAAATTGAACAGTTGTCTTGATGGATCAAGCTATCCGATGCCGAGGATTGATGATATCCTCAGCCAACTCGGAAACGCGAGATACTTTTCAAAGATAGATTTGAAAGCTGGATTCTGGCAAATCAAACTCAAAGAGTCAGATAAACATAAGGCCACGATGATAGGCCCGGGATCGTCGTACCAGTTTAAGGTTCTTCCTTTTGGTATAAAAGACGGTCCCACCGCTTTTCAGAGAGCAATGGATATGACATTGGGAAATTTAAAAGGCATAATTTGTTTTGTCTTTGTGGATGATATTATTGTGTTCTCAGCTACAAAAGAACAGCATCAAAAGGACCTTGATGAAGTGTTCGCCCGCCTCGCGGAGGCAGGTTGGACAATAAATTTGGAAAAGTGTGAATTTTTCCAAGAGTCCTTAACATTCCTTGGGCACGTTGTGGATGGAAATGGTATCCACACTGATCCCGAAAAAGTTCATGCAGTTATGAACTTCGGACCTTTTCGAAATGTGAAAGACATCCAGCGCTTTAACGGAATGGCTGGATTTTACCGCCGATTTATTGCGAATTATGCAAAACGGGCCGAGCCATACACACGCTTGATCAGAACAGGCGTCAAGTGGGAATGGGGCCCAGAACAAGAGGCAGCTGTGCAAGATATTAAAAAAGCATTGTGCGATGCTCCAGTTCTTGCACGATACGATCCTTATGCTCCGATCAGTGTGTATATCGATGCATCCGGTATAGCTGTGGGTGCAGTTATGAAACAGCTGATCAGAGATGAATGGAAACCGATCGAGTTTATGAGTACTCAGTTGAAGCCAACTCAAAAGCAGAACTATTATCCAACAGAGTTGGAATGCTTTGCGTTGATTTCGGCGCTGAAGAAATGGCGTCATTATTTGTCGGGACAGAGGTTTGACGTCTATACGGACCATTCAGCCCTTCAGTACTTGAGAAACATGAAGGATATGGGAGGCCGTTTGGGACGATGGGCCATCATGGCACAGGAGTACGAGATGGTCCAGAAATACATAAAGGGCAAAGAAAACGTGGAAGCAGATGCCCTGTCGAGAAATGAGGGCATACAGCCAAATGAACCGAAGTCAGGAGATTCCTGTGAGATTCCAGATTATTTACCTAACTGGAACGATAAGCAGGTGAATGCTGATGATAAAGCCACACAGGCTTCTGCAGAACTGCATCAACATATGAACATGTTGAATCATGAAGTTCTCGGTGTGAAGGCAAACGAGCAGTTCGAGTTCTTCAAACCCGATCAGGCTAAGTTTTGTGAAGAAGAACAGGAGAAAGATCCACAAATTCGGATGTGGATTTCTTTGGTAAATGATCCAACTCAGAATATGAGTAATGGACAGCGTAAAGTGTTGAAGCATCTCGTAATTAGAGACGGCGTACTGTACTACCGCCGTGTTCACAACGACGGTTACTTGTATTTGTTCTACGTGCCGGCCCAGTGGCGGCTGCAACTAACACATGAAAGTCACGATGTGCCGTATGCTGCCCACTTGGGACCGGATGCTACGTATCAGAAAATGGTCAATACGATGTTCTGGCCAAAATTACGGACGTTTGTTATCAAGTATTGCAAAACGTGCGATGCTTGTCAGAGGAGAAACCCTCTGAACAAAGCACCCGCTGGGTATGAACAGACAGTTCCGGTGGCTAATCCTAGAAGAGTGTGGGCGATTGATGTGGATTCGTCCCTTCCTCTCTCAAAGTCAGGGAACCGCCACCTTATCGTAGCGCAAGACTACGGAAGTAAGTTTGTTGTGGCGCAGGCTGTGCCGAAAAACGACAAATTTGCCGTGGCAGATTTTTTGTTCCGCCGAATTGTGTCGGTTTATAGATGCATGGAAAAAATGATATCCGATCAAGGAACGAATTTCATGAGCGAGCTGTTTAAAGAACTCGCTAATTTAATGGGAATTACGCATATTCCGATTACCAGCCACCATCAACAGGCCAATGGCATGGTGGAAAAAAGGATCGGAGAGTTTAACAAAGCTATCAGTAAATACGTTTCGTCTAAGCAGGATGACTGGGATAATTATATCCCAGCATTGTGCATGGCTTTTAACAGCACTGTGAATTCGAGTACTGGCTGCACACAAGCATTGTTGATGTTTGGCACTGAGTTACGGCTACCGATTAACAATTTCGTGCCGGAAGTGTATAAAAACTTCGAAATTCCTGTGTATCAGTATACACAGCAGATACAGGATGCGTTGGGCGATGCAATCCAGATCGCCCGTACAGGTGAACTGATGAGGAAGAATCGTGATAAGGCACGATATGACTCTCATCGGAAAAGTGAAAGTTATAAGAAAGGAGACATCGTAATGCTACGGGAGAAAAAACGCCTCCCGGGCAAGTTGATGAAATTTTGTGATCTGTGGTTAAGCGGTTACGAAGTACTTGAAAAACTAGATGAGATTAATTATCTAGTGCGTTCGCTTCGTGGTGGAAAAGCACGTATCGACAGAGTTCATGTCGAGCGAATGAAAAAGTATAACCCGCGGATGGCACATAATTATGTTGTGCCGGAAGAGCCGAAAACGGATGAATCAGTTTATGATTTCACGCATAAATCGAGAAAAATGGGAAAACAAGTCAAGGTCGGTCAAGATCACGAAGATGATCTTGATAACGACCCGGTTGAAGATGGAGATACCGAGAAAAATGAATCTGGAAATTTGCCAGACCCTGGATCAGTGATGCCTAGCGCGCAAAGCGTGCCGGTGCAAAAGTCTCGTGCAGGTAGAACACTGCGACAGACTAAGCATTTCGTACAAGAGTAAAATGTACGAGTAGTACTGTACGAGTACAGACAGTATAAAGGTAGATGCGAAAGAGCGCATCTGAATTAGTGCTGTTTCTGTTTAGTCGAAACTTCCTCAAGTTTTATTGATTTATTGAAAATTCGTGACCTTTTAATTGGGTCAGTGTAGTACTTATCCATGGTTACGGTAGTTATCACAATGGGTGATCGTTCATTGTATGACATGTTGGAGCTGGCCTTGTATGGACGTGGCCAGCGTCGTGGTCGATGGAATGCGCGAAACTATCGTCAGCGCCGAGGAGCCGATAATCAGGGCAATAATGGGCCTCAGGGAGCGAACGGGAATGGAGCCCAGAATGGGAATCGCCGTTGTTTCCGCTGTGGCCAAGCCGGTCACATGTTGCGAGATTGCCCAGCTACGAATGGAGGGCAACAGGGGAATCCCCCAGCAGCTGCTGCGAACCAGTTGGTTGTCCAACCAGGACCGGTCCAAGGACCTCAGAATTTGCCGCAAGAACCGGCAGGGAATCAGGTCCAGGTGGCCGTGGATGCTTATGATGCGCTGCCACCGAAAGAAGGATGGCGTGACTATACGTATGAGCAACGCTATACAGCGCTGGCTCGTTGGTACCGCCACCCAGAGTTGGCCCCGGAGGACTGCAGCTGGGCCGAATGGGTCATGTATAAGGCCAATGTGCTGACTGCGCCGCCAGCCCCTGTGGACCAGCAGGCTGGACAGGATATGGACGCCAATCAGGATGAGTTGCTGGACTATGAGGATCCATTGTAATCTACCGGTATAGCGTGGTAGAATTGTTCGGATTTATTAACCTGAATTTTCGTAACCTTTGGTAAGGTTTAGTAACACCAGCAGGTGTAATAATGCTGGATTTTTCTTTGCTGAATTTTGGTTGAAGAATAATTTACATTATTTCAGTTAGTTTTCTGGAACTAACTGATCTGGTGCTATCGCATAATGTTGACCTTTCGTTACAGCATTGCATGTTGCTGTACTCTTGATTTGTTGTGTTGAGTTGTGCATAATTAACCAGTGCATCGGTTAATAGTCATCGATGGTGTCGCGAAAGAATGAAATATAACATGTAAAATGTTGATTAATAAAATTCCGATAAGACGGAAGTGTGTTTGCTTCGCTGCGTAGTAGAAGTGAGATTGTACGAGTATAAAACGTACAGGAAATATCAGAACTGAATATGAGTGAATATTGCATGCAGTAGTGCTGCACACAAAGAAATATTACAGATGAAAGTAAAATGTGAAAGTATTTCACAAAAGAGTTGAAAATATTACCCAGAAATGAGAAAACTGCATTGTCGGTGCATGTGCAGAAACATAGCAGTATGAGTACGTACAAGTATAAAAGTACGTAAGTAGTGTATGCAATCAGCCAGCATGATTGGATGACTCATGCGAAAAAAGCATGCTTGAGCACGTGCTGCAACTTGCACTTAATTCGCAAAAAGCTCATTGCAGTTTGGTTCTTGCGTAGGTTTTCGCGGTGAAAAGGTTTTACGAATTGACATCTTAAAAAGTGCATTTTGAAACTATTTTTTCACTTTGTCGGAAACATCTTGAGCGAAATTTTCAAGATTGTGTGCGTGTCAGACGGTAAAATGGCAGGAAGAGGACGACTGCGCTCTTTAAACCCGCAGCCAGCGGTCCTGAAGTCATCTGGTATCGCGACCTTCACGGATGAAGATGAAGAGGTGTAACAACGCTACATGCAGCTGATCGACCAGGAGAGTGATAATCCTGGAGTTCCAGCAAAGGAAGTCCAAAAAGACATTCGAGTAAGTGATCAAGTAAAGAAGAAACTTGATTGCAATGGCAGAATGTGTTTCCTGCATGGGGGTACCATATTGTCATATCTGGATGTATGACTTTCCAGATGCGCTCTCGATTTGGACGAGTGCTTGGCGATCGTGCACAGGAGATGGTGGAGAAAGTGCAACCACCAGAGAAACCAGAGGATAAGCACGCTGCTTTTCAGGATCAGCAGAAAAAAAGTGGAGGGAAAAGAGAACCCTCAAATTCCGAAGTTTCGGGGTGTTGGATGAGCAGAAAGAGACTGCTCCAAAGAAGGATGAAATGGGCGTCCAAAAAGCCATGGAGAAGGAAAACGCCATGGGGAGAAACGCCATCACCTCCGACACCTTATTCAAGAAGATTTCCCTCTTGACAGTGGAGGAAAAGAAGAAGCTGAAGATTGGTGGACTGCCTGCAGTAATTGAACAGCAGCAGAACCCTCAGATGGGCGACAATGATGGACAGACCACAATTGTCCCGAGCGTCATGGCCGTGCTGTGTGAGCTGCTGCAGGAGTCGTTGGATGCGCCACACCGCAGAATCTGCATGCGAATGTTGCAGAAAGGAGCCTGGATCGACTGGTTGGAACTGCTGAAACAGATTGCAGCATATGTGGATGTTCTGCCGCCGTTCCAGAACGTGAATAATGATCACTGGATGCAGTATGAGCAGCCTAATCTTGCTCAGTATATGGACGTCCACTGTGACGATGTGGCCTTTCGGAAGCTGCGGTTGTTCCAGCAAGAGGCGAATCAGATGATTCGATTTCGTGTGGTGAGCGCGCAGAATACCCGTCACATCACTACACAGAAGATAACTTCGTCATTCAAAATGTTGACGAATGTGGCTCAGTTTATTTGCGATTACATGGATCGTATTGACGGAGTGCTGTACTTGATCTCGTACGACTTCGACCAGAAAGCATTTCACCAAAAGAAGTCGGTGAAGCTGGTACCACAGCCAGAAGTGTACAAGAACACTGGATTAGCAGGGATAATGCGACAGACAGCTGGAAACCAAGCAGCGCAGAACTTTGCACGAGAACGGGACGACGTGCAGAAGCGCATGGCGGAAGCGGTGGATGATATGCAAAACATCCACTTCGATACTCCATGGTTTTGGAGAGCTTTTCATGCACTGAGGGTGCTGTTGGACGGCTTGTCAGCGCGATATGGATTGCCGCGATATGTGTTTCAGCCAGAGAAGACCACAGTGCCACCTGTTCTTCGTACCAACGAACGTTGGTACGAGTTGGCCCCAGAAGCACAGCAGGCTGCCCGTAATGTGCAGGGCATGTATATTCTGGAACTCGACATGTTGCGAGCGCTGAAGAAAAACCGCCAGGAAATGGAACTGACCCTGGCTGCCTACAACCTTCCCCCACCGACCAACATCATTACCTTCCCTCCGGATATCACTACTGCCATCAGAACGTTGGAAGCGAAAGAACGGGAGGATCCGGATGCGTCGAAGCGGATGTCGGATGCCCGACAGGGATGGATGACCGCGGCGTATGCGCTGAGTAACCTGGAGCGACAGTGAGTCCAGGACGGAACCGATACCGGACATGTATTGGATGTGACGGATCCCGTTGGCCTTAACTCGGTAGATAAGCCTCCCGAGGGGAGATCTCTTTCGTTATTGTGTTTTCTTTTACTTTTGTTAGTGTCCTCCGCGGACGGAGGCGTTATTTGATGCGGGGATGACGCTGTGGTGGTAGGAAGCGTCGTACATGTAGACTTTTGTACGAGATTGGTGTTGCTTATGTTGCCGCTAATTGGTTGATAATTGCTAGCTTCTATGACTCACTAGCACCAGATTGATCTCATGTTAATGGCGGTGTTATCTCTCTTGAATTTTGATGTGCAATTTAGTCTTGACTGGAACATCTATCGAATTGCAATTTAATAACAACATCCTGAATCTGAGATCTCTCGTGTCTTCTAGTAGCGAAAGCATTAGCGTGTACCTACCGGAAGTCACATCCCTTTTACTAACTCTGGATAATTACATCTTCCAGATAACTCTCGTGCACGTAGGAATAGGTAACAGTTTGGTAAGTAGAACTTCGACATAAGAAAACATTTATCTTTCTTATTTTCCCACTTTGTCGATTGAGTAAGGTTTGGTCATCTAGTGCGGTAGTCGTGGTGCGACTTCCGCATAGCATGTCACATATTGTCCCAGATCCATGGTTACTGTTGTCCTTACTTTAAATGTCATACTTACTTAAATTACGAGGAGGAGCAACCTTGGCCCGATCAAAGGCATGTGCACGACCATAAACCGATCACTGTTTCAAAGTGTGTGCAGCACGGCTAACCGCCCCGCGACGGCAGCTTTCAAGCATCAGCACGTAAATAGTTTTTTATAGAAGAAATCCAGTTTATAGCATTCGTTTCTTAAGTGTCTCAAAGAATTTAGATAATTTTTCAAAATATGGGAAAAAAGTAGGCAATTTTTATTTCAACCAGAAGAACCAAGTTAGTGACAACCTTTTGGGTTTTCGTAAAATATTAATATAACTTGAGATACTTTCTTGGAACCGTTAGCTGAAAGCCTATGCTATGTCTACGAGAGATTCCACCACGCGTAACTTTCTTGGTTTGAAATGAAAGGGATATCTGTATAAAAGTTCTATTTTCTTTACATTTTGAATATTGTATGGAAAAGTTTTAAAAAAGTAAAAAACAATTGAGCGATCAACTGCTGTGCTATTTTAAGTGCGGACTTTAGTGCGCTGCCATCGCTGGGTGGCTAGCCGTGTTACACACCCACGTGGCCCAGCATGTAAATACCCGGGCACAGTGATCGGTTAATAGTCGTGCGTATGCCTTTGATCGGGCCAAGGTAGCTCCTCCTCGTACAGAGTTCCACGCAATGTTGTTGTCCGGCTTCTGGATTACTCCAGGCTGATGTCAGGCTACATCCATCATGACGTAGACATCCGCCTCACTTTTGCCAACGCCTTTGCAACTGCCATCCAAAAGGTGCGGCACGCTTAAGGATCGCGATCCTTCCGTGACATTCTGTTCACCCCATCGGTTTGTTTTATGATTCTTGTTTGTTTTTGTTTTGTTTTTTGCGGTTTTTTGGGGCTTCTTTGGTTGTGACCTTAACGATAGCATGGTTTCGATGTGTATTAGACTCCGAACAGTACAGTCGCCTTGTTGTTATGCGTAGCTGATGCAATAATAGACGAGATTCCCCGGGAAAGGGAATCTGTCCATTAATGGCTAGCGGCGCAACCTAAGCTCGCCCGCTTGGAGATTGGCAAGCGGTCAGTGTCTGGATGAGGTATATAAGCAACTCACTGCACACCGTGCACAATCATTGCTCCTACCTTTGCAGTTAGCAAAATTTTTCACAGTCAGCAAAGTTTGGCAAATTTTTGCAATTAGCAAAGGAAATTAGCCTGCTACTAGCAGATACTTGGCTTTTATAGCGTTAGCCTTCTGAACATTCTGTGACCTTTTTAATAATAACCGCCAACGGTCTTCATAATGGTTTCGAAGAACGAACTGAAGAAGTTGAAGGTTCCACAGCTCAAGCAAGCATGTCGTGATGCTGGTCTGGATGAACCGGCGCCAGGAAAGTCTTGTTTTTTTTTGGCACGTTTGTGATGTATACCCACAACAGCATCCTGCCATCACGCATGGAAGGTGCTATGGAGGCCAACGGCGCCACCGCACCGACTGACCATCCTGTTGGACCTCCAGCAGGAATAGCTGCCGTTGGACCATTAGCCGAACTGAGTACTGTATGCGGCCTGGCTCCAGCCACCCTGCTTGATTTGGAGGAAGCTGGCTTCACCAACCTGGGCAAACTTCTCCGCTTTCATCAAATAAGTCCTATCCGAAAGATCTCGATTTCATCAAGCTTCCTGCCGATCGCAACGAGATTCAGATCTTTATCAATCACCGAGCGCCGCTTGCCGTTTCCGATCTCCGCCAACTGCTGCGATCCCGTAACAGCAATGCCGAAAACGTCGGATCCGCGCAAGCCAATGTCCCGGTCGTCAATAGCAACAGCGGTCAGCGTGCACCGGCTGCCGGTAGCAGCCGTGGCAGGGCCCGTTCCCGCGGTAACTCCGAGCAACGTTCACGCCATAACCACGGCCGCCACTAACAACTACAACTCGGGTGAGTCATCTAGTAGCGATAGCTTTTCTCGTTCGCGTAAGCGCACACACTCTCGTAGCAAGTGCTGACTCTCGATTCACGCTCGTAGATTGCCGTTACCACATAAGCAAGCTCCAAAGGTCACCTTGTACTGCGGCAAACGCAGCCGACCTACTGCAGCGGATTCATCGTACAACGAGTTTTTGGTATACAGTTTAAAAACAGCCGTGAAACTTGCACGGACTGTTTCTGGCAAATACCACCAATCACTTACTGAATATTTGCAATATTTAGAAGTTCTGGCTATACGTCGGCGTGATTACGACGATAAGGCAGTTTTGAAATTTGACGAAGAATTTTGAGAAATGGCAACTCACGATGGCCTCAGACTTTCTGATTCACATGAACGCATTAAATAATAAATATTTCCGTGAGAAAACGCGTCGCTATGATTCCGATGTCGATCGAAAAACACGAAAGAAGCGTCCGCTTTTTCGCGGTAATGCCGGCAATCAACGCGCCTGCACAATCCGCTGTAAGTTTACCTGCTGCTATAATTGGCAGGAAAATTGATGTTAAAGCAGCGCCACGTGCGGCTTTGCTTACATCTGTGGTCACTGCGGAGGCGACCACCAAGACGCCAGCTGCTATTCCACAGCGACCAGAGGAGACAATACGCACTGATTGCTCACTCATGTGCAGCATAATTTTTCGAGGAAAGTGTCCGAACTTGGCGTAGCAGGGCTGTAGACCAGATTCCCCGGGAAAGGGAATCTGTCCATTATTGGCTAGCGGCGCAACTTAAGCCCCCCCCCTCTGGGACATTGGCCAACAGTCAGTGTCTGGAGGTACTGTATTTTCACAAGTTTAAGGAACACGAAAATGCCCTAGGTCTGCTCGCAGCCACCCGGGGCCTGCAGCTACGTTCATTCCTGCTCACTGAGCTCTGAAATCGAAAACTGCAATTTTAATCGTTTTTGAATTTACTGTTGCTCATTACGGGGCCTCATTTTATTGTTTCATTTTTTGGATATCCAGTCAATAACAGGACAAAAAACGGAGTGCAAATTTAAATCCTGGAGAACCTGGAGTAATCCATCGGCATGGCCTCTGTTCAACCGCTTTGCACCTTGAAGTGACGGCCTAGCCTCAGTCAGAATCGCTGTACAAGTGCGGAATTTTGCTCGTGCTCGTTACCACGTGCAGATACACAATTAGACAGTCTTGCCTCGTTAAAATTAGGAATCCGGGCAAGGAAAAGATCTAAACTAAATGACACAGCCAAATCCTAACTGAGTCTTCAGAAATGCAGAGAAACGATGTTGCCCCTCAGGGGCACCCCCTTGCCAGGGGCACGCTCTGGCACACATGCCAGACTCACATTTCTGTACCAATAAACAAAACGGTTTTGCACATAATAAAATAATCAATAGACATTTAGAAAAAAATAATAAATAATGTGATTCTGTGAGTTGTAAAATGGGGCCCTGTAATGAGCAACAGTAATTTAAAAAATGATTAAAACTGCATTTTTTAATTTCAGAGCTCAGTGAGCAGCATTGAACGCAGCTGCAGGCTCCGGGTGGCTGCGAGCAGACCTAGGGCATTTTCGTGTTCCTTAAACTTGTGAAAATACAGTATATGAGCAACTCACTGCACACAGTGCACAATCATTGCTCCTACCTTCGCACTTCGCAGTTAGCAAAAAATTTTTTCGGGCTTCATTGGTTTGCGACCTTAAACGATAGTATTGTTTCGATGTGTGATTAAACTCCGAACAGTACAGTCGCCTTGTTGTTATGCGTAGCTGATGCAATAATAATACAAATACAGTTACACAAAGCAAACTTGCAAGGTATGCGCAACTGCATGTCTCAGTCTATCACCAAGATTTCTGATTATTTTTGCTTGTACAATAATATTTGATAAAATAATGTTATAGTCGCGCGCTCAAAGTATAATATGAATCGTCTCATTGGGCCTAGCTAAAGCATTTGGAAATTTTAAACAAAATGGATAAATAAGGTAGTACGACTACTATATACAAATCGCAGAAACTAGGTTTAATAGAAACTAGGCAAATCGCACTACGTTTAATAGACAAAAGATGCTGCATATCTATATGACACTGTGCGCGCTTTTCTACCGTCGGTTAGCACGAATGGCAGTGTTTATAGCCAAATTCCTTCCAGTGAATTTCGCAAACTGCGTGTATTCATTGATTTTTTATTGTGGCCATAGCATTTTCTGTGTTGCGAATAGTACTCGTACTTTTATATTAATCGGCACGATCATCACTATAGTGTTTGGTTTTGATCTCGGCGATCTGGAGTCAGTATTTGCTGCTGGCGATGGAATGATCGAATGGAAGATGAAAGTAAGTTTGTGCAGGTTGTAGCATTTGTCCAATCCAACTATACTAGACCGTTCGTGCTGCATGTCCATCCTCATTGTCCTAAATTTCGGCTTTTTCTGTGATTTCCTAAATGTATGCTTCGCAAGCGAAAACTCAATCATTAGATCCCAGTACAAACCGGATACTGCTAAAAAGTGTTTCCCTTAGCCAGCTAAGTAATGTACATAATTGCTAACGGTACTCACAGTCACGGTTTGCCTTCGGCTAATACGTGACGTGTTGGCGGACATATATGACGTGTTGGCGGACATCCAACATTTTCATGCTGCTGCCGTTTCGCCTGCGAAATATCGATATTTTTTTACATCCCTTCACCAGACGAACTTACCGGTACCATCGCCGCCATAAAGTTCAGCGGCAATTTTGTACGAACGCTTTACTCCGTCATTCGCTTCGCTGGCTGGTTGCTGATTTACATTTGGATTCAGCATTCGTATTTTGTGCAAATTTGATTATAAGCAAGGGAGCGCGGCTTTCGAACCAGATTCATGATGGTTCTCACCGTGACCTTAACAATCAGTAGTCGGTGTTACAGTTACGAGTGCTCTGCTGCTCGTATCTTGCATCCGTCAGTGACCTTTGCCGTCACCGAAACGCTT